TACCTACTTATAGTTCGTCTCGTTTTTTTACTGGAATGAATGCGCTTCCGTAATACAAAACCTGACGTATTACGGCGTGTCGCCCCTGCACAGCGAAGTTCTAAAATGTTCGTCTGCTAAGAAGCAGACGAGCTTTCCCACAACAATGGCGCTCGATCTTTTTGACCATGACTTGGAATTGGCTCTATTCAGCGAAACAAATTTAGAAAAAGGGATTTTGTACGACTGTCTGCGCACTAAGTGTGGCGTGAGTCCCTTTTGAACTTCCCGCTTTCTATAAGCGAGGCACGCACGCGCGTGCCGTGGGGCCCGTGACTTGTGCAGGGGCACGAGGGAATAAACATTCTTTTTGGTTTGCCATGACACGCAGTCAGTCGCATTTCTTTCGGGTGCCACCGAGCACCGATACACTAAGAGAAGCCGCTTGTTGGGGGCAAGGCATCGGACGTTCAACTGGGCGTAGCTTTTGAGTAAACAAAAAAGTTGTGATACCAGGAATGATGTGCGGATACCACGAATGATGTGCCAGCGTATTTTTTTTTCTTTCAGTTTACCAGATTTATATACTTGGGGAATAAAATAATGCCTCGATCGTATATGGTAACTTGTTTTCTAATAAATCATGCGTTCTCAGCGGGCAAGCTTCGGTGTTTTACATCAACCAAATATGATGTTTACACCAAACACGTCCTGATATGCTGAAACGTTGCCGAAAACAAACTCGATTTGGCACAAGAACACGCTCGCGCGCGCTTATCATCAACATTCGAAGTCGTCTGCTAGCGATCCTGTCTCTTTCCCTCGAGGCCCAATGCAGGATCGAGTATTAAGAAGGATCATGGTCAAATAAAACTAGAAATATTAAATCTCGAATAAAATACAAAAATAACCAAAATATACTCACTTTCTCAAGTTGATGCGGCCATTTTTCTTGTACAAAGCTAATTCAATTCAATTTTCAATTTAATTCAATTTTTATGTTAAGATCAAGTCATACAAAATAAAGAGCTGGCCCACAAAAGCAGCATTCTGCTTGTATGTGGGGTCAGGCGACCAACTACAATACATGTTGTTACAAAAAAAAAAGAAAAAGAAAACACTCCGCAGCACAAAAAAAAAATGAAAGGAACACAAAATTAGCAGCACAAATAAATACAAAAAGGAACACTTTAGAGTATGCAATATAGGTGTTTATAGCCAAGTCTACTCACGCAACCATGAAATAAAAGTACGAAACATCTCCAACGGTTAGGCTACGATATCTACAGCTCAGATGCTCGACACCAATTCCTTAGTTTCCTTTTTAGTACCCTAGTGGATTCTATATTCATAAGGGACTCTGGGAGTTCGTTAAATAAGTCAGGAATGTAAGGATTTCTGTTTTTCTTTCCATACAGTGTGAATATTTTTGGAATGACGTATCTTTCAGTACGTCTCAAATCTCTATTTTTGTTTACGAGGAGGTCAATCCGTTCCTTCGCTCCTCGCAACGAGAAGTTCTTTTTCAACGCTGCGTCATTCCAAAGTGCTAGAGCGAGAAAGGAGTAGCGCCTAGCACCTCCCGAAGTAGAAAGATGTTGTCTACTGCTGTAAACCGCTTGCGAGGAGGAGGCGGAGGGACGGTGGTAGATGCGGCGCTCATGTTGCTCTCTTACGGTACAGATAGCAGACGAACACGGTCGTACGCCCGAGTACCGATCGTTGCGCCGTGCACGGTACGACCACCAAGAAAATATAAAGGAAAACCTGTAACTTTACTGCTGTACACTTATTAAAACTATCACCTAATGTTCAAAGGGCTCGTTTCATAGGATATATGTGATTAGCATTTGTACAGAAATTTTTAATTCATGCAACATTTTTAAACTAAAAAGTATCCGGAGCCTTGATGCAGAAGGCTGTTGCTCACTCTGTTGCCACTACAGATAATCCTCAGTCATAACAGCAGCTGTAAAAAACGGGTGATAAGTGCTCAAAATGCACATCCAATGTTTGTATAAAAAGAACAAAAAAAAAACTTATACACCTGTATTCACCAGGCGCGAGTAGCGCCTGTTTAACCACTGACTAGCGACGTCATCGACTAAAATGATCACGTGGCGAGTGATAGTCGCCGCTAAGTGAGCGCTTGATATTCACCGGTCCTGTTTAGGGCCTAGTCGCCCCGCGCGACTAAGAAGTCGACTAATAAATCTTAGCCATGGGGTAGGGCTAGTTTAGCGGGCGACTAGTAGGCGTTTAGGGCCAAATATGGCCGACCTGCGAGATCTTTTCGAGCTCGAAGAGCTTTCCCAAGTGCAAGCGCTTCGCGTGATGCCCCGTACGGTACGCGACCGGCAGAACCCATTCATTATATGGAGCGACGACAATTTCAAAAGGCGGTACAGGCTGAGGAAGGAGACTATGATGTTTGTTGTGAACCTGCTTCGGTCAGACCTCAACGAAACTTCGGTGAACAACGCAATCTCGCCGGAGCTTCAAGTTCTCAGCGCCCTCCGCTTTTTTGCGAAAGGCAGCTATCAAGACGACGCTGGAGACATCCACGGCTTCAGCCAGCCCACCTAGTCGCGGATCGTAGGTCGGGTCTCTCGGGCTCTCGCGCGAAGACGCGCCCAGTTTGTGCACTTTCCTGAAAACCGCAGGGAGCAGCGCTCCACGATCCAGCTCTTCTTCGAACGATACGGGTTTCCCTCCGTGGTTGGGCTTATCGACGGCACTCACATACGGATAAAGAATCCAGGAGGGCCAATGAGGCTTTGTACATCTGCAGGAAGAAGTTCCATGCCCTAAACGTTCAAGTGAGTTAGCTAACAAATTTATTTCCATTTTTCCTAGTACGCTAGCAAATTCATTACGTTTTTGTGGACATTCAAAACGATATCCAAAAAGAGTATTTAAGTTAAATAAGTGAGTACCAGGCCAAACAGCAACTACCTAATACTCATCTCTCAAAAAAGTATTCAAGTAGAACATATTTAAACCACTAACCAGTAAAAACTTTTTAGAGCTTTCGAGAGAAAGGTGCCTTGTCACTTCACCTTTCTTTCCAGATTCCTAGGAAATAGAACATCAGTTTACTATAGGCTTTTACCAGTGTTTTGTGGCAGTGCTTCCTGGCTATAAGCCTATAAGGAATACGTCATTCCACCCTGGCTTTGTATACGTACCCTGGTGCGCGCTTACAGGCATTCCTGCTTCAAAATCTAGGCTGTGTCTAACGCTTTGGGGCGTGCAAAGCGACAATTGAATGGCCAGCAGATGTCTTTGGTGTCCTGCCCTGCCACGAGACGTGTGTCTGCTTACACTGAGGCGGCACATTTGTTTACCGAGATGCAGTACCTACCTCAGAGGTAGGTGCTGCATCTCGGCCCAAGAGTGTCTAAACAAAAAAGAAAAAAAAAAAAAGCCTGTGGTCGCAAAGCACTGCAATTAGTCATATTTTTACTTTCCCGCCTTCCGATGAAAAGTGTGGGGGTATCTTACGACCAATGTAGCAAATGAGTACAACATACTTGCAAAAGGTATTGATAGGTTAGTGTACCAAATATTGGCTTTTTAAATTATTTGAAAACTATCAACCCACCCTAAAAAGTATTTTGGGTGGGGCAACTTAAGAAGAGTATGTTACGTACAATACTGCATTTTCCTTTCCAGCTGGTTTGTGATGCTAAGGAGAAAATAACCAACGTAGTGGCACGGTGGCGTGGTAGTGCTCACGATTCAAGGATCTGGGAGGAATGTGCCCTTCGGGAGAAGTTTCAAGAGGGGGTAAGCTAGTGTTTGCTACGATTATTGTTCGCAAACATTCTAAAGTGGTACATAGTAGCCTCATTACTGCCCAGCCTTAAAAAATAATAAATATTGGGATTCAATCACTCTGAAATAAAGACACATATCTCTTTTGTGAACATATTTTAATGTTTATGCACTTTATACTTATTTACACACAGAAAGTGACAGGCCTCCTACTGGGAGACAACGGATATACGTGCAGTCAGCATCTCTTGACACCAGTCCTCGGTGCACGGCCGGATAGTCCAGAAGAAGAGTACAACACACGACACAAATCTATAAGGAATGCCATTGAAAGAGTGATCGGGTAACTGAAAAACAAGTTCAGGTGCCTTATCCGAAAACTTGAAATCTCCTTAGACACAACAAAGGCTGTGATAGTAGCGGCATGTGTGCTCTTCAACATTGCCAAGGACCACAACGGTAATAAGATTGCATAATATGAATGGAATAGACATCCATACTTTAAACTCGTCTCAATGCGGCCTATATTTTTTTCTTTTAGATGGGGATGATTTTAGTTCAGACTCTGACACGGACTACGAATCAAGCGATTCAAGTGAAACCAGTTCCGAAAGTGATGAAACTCCCGAGGATCCTCCAAGTGGAACTGCATTCAGGTCGCACTTCATACAAACCCATTTTTCTTCAGGTACATGAAACAAATGTAAACCTAGTGGTGAAAAGCATGAAAAGAGCACGGCCAACGCAATGAAACACAAGCAAAATAAATGTTTAGACGAAGAGAAGTTGGTCTGCCTTAGAAGCATGGCGACACCCTGGCGTGAACAATGTACTAGTGCAGTACAACTACTAACTTGGGGTATTAGGTGCATGTCGTGCAGTATCGACTACACTACCACATAATACAGAAGCGCTGACAAGCGACTGAAGTAAAAATTAAAAATAAAAAAGCACATGTTGGTCGAAGAAATAGAGTACCACCAAAGTTAACACTACGGACATCAAACATTTCTGGTGGCCTGTAAACAAAAGCATCCTTGTCACATAATCCTGCTTAAAAAGACAATGAAGATGATTTGAAAGTTTTATTTCACTATTAAAACACGTCTTATGCATGACCTAGGTAGTGTTGTCCAAGTTTTAGACCGAAACAGACACGTGCCTGTTGCCAAAATAAAACACGGCCTGGAACGAAGTTATGTGACAAAGATGTTTTTTTTCTCTCACAAGCCATCACGGTTGTTTTAGTCCTGTGCTAGCATTGTCTGATTTTTTCGCTGCCAGTATTTTAACTGTACGCTAAGCACACTCAGCTGAAGCTTGTTTTGCTCTTCCAGGAATTGTTGCTGCTGGACCTCCCTCTTGAATTGTTGCTGTAAAATCTTCATTTGAAGATCGTGTTGTTGCTGGTCGAACTGCATCTGCTGCTGTAATTTTTCATTATAGCAGTCAGCTACGAGCTCGGTACGCTTTGTTGCACTGCCACGGAGACCTGGCTGCCTAAGCAAAAGAAAACGTGTTTGCACTCACAAAAGTGTTTTACAAAAAATGCAAGTCACTTCAGCGGTGGAAATTCAATAAAAGTGATATAATTAACTGCTCCTGTGGCTTGAGGTAACTGAAACCTGGGAAAGGTTTTTGGGGGAACCATGTCACCCAAGGAATGTTGAAAGTAAGAGCTCCAAGGCCTTCTTTTTTTCCCCAAAATTTAGGCGTATAATGCTTCAAGACAAATCTTTTGCCCTAGAGCAACCCAACTGCCGCCCCTGTAAAAGTATTGTCTGCGATGTACTAGAGAGATTTAGTATAGCATACGCAAGCGTTTTGTGTATGCAAAGAATAGTGTCACCATAGGTTTTATATGACAACATTATTTTTAGCGTACTCAATACTCACTCCCTAATGCGGAGTTTTGCAACGAGTACAAGAATGCACACCTTCTGTGATGCCTGATCCCAGCACGTCGCTGCATTGTAGTGGCAGTACCGTTGTTCCTTCTTACAGTCAAGGATCCAGCAGGAGGTAAATGAAGGTTGGATGGTCGGCTGCATTCCACATAGTTAAAGACATATCAGATTATTATGTCATGACTCGGTCACACTAGCCTGGGAATGTTGGTGCATATCAGGCTGAAAAGGAATAGATTGAAGATCTAGGAATGATAAATTACCTTTAACTAAATGACTAGCAAACGTATTCAGCCATTCTGGAGCTCAAAAGATTCTTTAAGGTATTTCTGCTATTACGGAAATAGAACAATAAGGTGAGACCGGTAACTTTTGTGGTAGGCTTGCTTGGGCAAGAAAAAGGAAGAAAACAGGGAACAGTTTCAGGTCTAGGGGGAGCACTCAATGCACACATTGAAGCTCGCACAAGTAGGACGTACCTGACTAAGCACAGCACAAGGAAGTAAGTCACTCAACGCACAATAGTGCAGTGGTTTTACAGGCGGCGCACTGGACGTTCACTCAGTGATGATGCACTGTTAAGTTTCTTACAAACACAGCACAACACAGTAGAAACCGCACAGACATATGCATGAAGACTAGGTACCATCATTGATTAATTAGACCGGTACTCTCAAGACAAAATTCAAGTTTCTCTACCAGCTTCTACTTCCATGCTTTGCTTAGAAATTTAGCAAATTTGCCGCAAAGATTAAGATAAAAACTCAAAAATATGATTTTCCACAGGAAAACTAGTGAGGTTACTTCGGACATCACACAACCTCCAGAAGAAAGTCAAGATACTGAGCACTCATTTCAATACAGGTTGTTTTGTTTTGTTTTGTTTCCTTACCGAAGACAGATACTCTATTTCGCATTCAACCTGCATCAGATATGTTCCCTGTCAGGTAATAGCATCTGCATCAGCATACTCACGTGTTCAGCAGCACCTCTTCCGGTTCATCAAGGTGTTCCGGCGCAGGCACTTGGCTGCAGGTAGTACAGTAACCTCTATTACAAGATTCACGCTTTTTCTTGCTTGGCTAGCACCAGACTTGTACACGTTACTGAAAAAAAGTAACTGATTACAATTACAATTACTACACTCAAAAAAGTAACCGATTACCGTTACTGATTACTGCCTCCCAGAAGTAATTGAACAATTACTGCAAAGTTATTGATTACTTTTCAAGTTACTTTCACGTTACTTCTTATTGCGATGACAGAAATACACAAATACACAGTAAAATATTGCGTGCACAATTTTGTTTGGTTATTGTTCCCTTTTTTGTTTTCAGACCCTGACCTTGTCGTGTAGCTGACGCGTCGACCTAAGGAACAAAGCCCACTAAAAAGTCAATAGCGAGTTCCCGTTTCCCGTCGACTTTATCAGCAATCTGCAACGAGATCCGGAACTCCCCAGCCAAGGCTGGTGGCGCGCTTGTAGAAGAGCGTGGCGCAAAAGAAAAAAGGATTTGCCGACTAATCCTAGTTTTATTTTTTTTAGATGTTAAAAAAATGTCAATCATTTTTGCTCCATGGCTGAGTAACTATGTTGATTTTTGTGAGAAAAAAAATTGTGGAATGAAAAATGTAATTGGTAATTGTGTAATTGATTTTGTAATTGATTACAGAAAAAAGTAATTCAATTACTCCGAGCGTTACAGCTTGACAAATGTAATTGAAGCGTTACAAAATTACACTTAACTGTAATTGATTACAAGTAATCAATTACTTGTAACGCGTTACGTACAAGTCTGGCTAGCACCCATACTTGGTTAGTTATTGTTCGCAGCTAACAAATCCACTAAAGGTTCGCATCTTCATAATTTTTTTTTTTTTTTTGGGGGGGGGGAGGATGTAATCGTCTTTTTGTGTGCACTGGTGAAATTCTTTTACTCTTCCATATGCGTCGTCATCATTTTTGTAGGAAATATCAAGAAATGAAAATAGCTAGCCAATTTTGAATTCTGTGCAATAAAGTTTGATAAAGCCTATTCGACTAAAGCAAAGTCAATAAGAAAAATATTTATTTATTATTTATATTCTAAATACACCCAAAAGTAGGACATACGTGCTTAGCAGCAACTCCACTGGTGTAGGTACGTGCTCCAGTGTGGCCTCTTCCACCAATACACAATCTTCTTGGACGCAGTCGAAACGTTGCTCTGGTGCGGTCGTTCTAAAAAAAAAGTGAAAAAGTAGGGTTTCCCATTTATTATAAGGATGAAGTAGAATAACTCGATGAACTCACGTTTCTCCGTCCATTTCCACGTCGTCGTCGTAAGCACTCGTGTCTCTAACAAATTCGTGAGGGAGAGCGTCTTTTATCGCGGTGTCCACGGCGGATGGCTCCTTCGGTGGTGCACCACCTCCCGTCCTCGAGAGTTCTTTGGAGTAATCCCGCCAATTCTTTTTTGCTGTCAGCTTCATGCGTCTCCATTGCTCTTTGATACGATCGAGGTCGCGAACTTTCGTTGCCGACTCCGCTCTGAAGTTTGAATCAATTACTTGCCAGGCCCTTTTTTTTTTTTTTTGTACGTTGACTTCGTGGTCGTTCGACTTGTCCTCGATGACAGCAACGTAAGGTAGAATCAGATCCAAGAGCCTTAACTTCTCCGTCTGGTCCCAGTTTTCACCTCGCGGTCTTTTTTGCTTCTGAGCCGAGGACGAACGAACGGTGGACGAACCCATCACGCACGAAACAAAGCACGACCAAAACACCTGACCAAATTGGCGCGACGGCTGATGTCGGATCGGATTGAACTGGATTCTGTCGGCTAAACTCGACAACCGGATGTCAACTGTGCGCGTCGCGTTGCTGACATCCGGTTGTTTTTTTTTTTTCCGGTAGGGCCTGAGCGGCCTGAGCGCATGCGTGATAAGGCCGCTGACGTCACTTCCGCCGTGTAACTCCTGACTAGATAGTCGCCCGCTCGCACAGAGCAAATCGGCGCTCGTGAATACCGCAGAACATAATCGCATGTTAGTCGCGGATTTCTTGTTTAGCTCGCGACTACTTAGTCGTGCTACTAACCTTAAAACGGCGCTAGTTAGTCGCGCCTGGTGAATACGGGTGATAATATGTAAAAAAAAGTGTGTGCGCCAGCGGGATTCGAACTCCCCACTACCGGACCTCAACGAGCTCAAGGAATCGGCGCTCAAACCCACTGAGCTACCGAGGAGACGATTTCTGGGTACGGTAAACACCAATTTATTTCTATTGAAAAAGTCCTATTGCGTTTTGTTCTTTATTTTTTTTCTTATTTCCTGGCTCAAACTTTATGGACCTGCTGTCACACATGGCGCTCCTCCCAGGCACTGCCACGATTTATTTTATTCATGTTTGGAGCCCCGGCACGCGCTCTCCGCCAGCGAAATAGCCGTTTTGCCAACCAAGCGAGACTGTCCATGTCGGCCATTGGTCGTGCCTTACGGTTCCACCAGCGCATTACGGTAAGATCGCAGAAGACAGGCGCATGCGCAGTTCGTATCGGAGGGCCCATCGTACCGTATCGGATGTGCAAAAACGGTTCCCTAAAACTCTCTATTATCGGTATCGTTATCGTTCGTATCAGAACGATCAACTAAAACTTGTGCGCCTTTGTACGCCAAGATACGTCAAAGAGTTACCGGGACATCTTTGCTTCGTATGAAGCTTGGCAACCAATTCAAGTAACTTTGCAAGCGGAAGACGAAGCAAAGGGGGTGGGGACTCGTTGTCAAAAGAATACATAAGAAAAAGGAGCAAAAGTTTTAGTGTGAATGAGCCTTCAAACTGAGTCATTTCAGTCTCTTCTGCCTGTAGTGTAAAAGTTGTAATGCTCGTTTTGTTCTGTCCCACTGACCGTCTCAGGTCGAGGTTGAAGAGGCCGTAGGAGCTCCGCGACCCATCGTGGTAACGAAGGAATCCAAACCGGTAATGTTCAGAGGTCCAAGGAGTCGCAAAGCCCCAGTGGTCGAGCCAGTGTACCGTCGAAAGACCAACTTTCTACGAGTCACGAAGTCGGCGTTCCGAGAACCGCATCCCTCTAACGGCGACAGCAAGGGCACCCTCGGAGTGCCTCCCCGAACCAAGATCCACAACCTGTGGCTATCCAGCATCAACCGCAACGTGCTGCTGCCCGCGCTGGTTTCCCTCCGGGGCGTCGGGGTCCGTATCCTCGACAACAACGACGGCTGGCTCCTGGCGGCCTGCTCCACCTTGTGGGCCCTGATCTCGGTGGGCTTCCAGAGCGTCAACATCTGCACGACCATCATGGGCGTGGTGTCCAACAACTTCCACGGCTACCTCCTGGATCAAGTGTCTTTCGTACTCGCCACGCTGTGTTCCGTCATCTGCTCCGTGCTGCTGGCCTTCAGCCCCCGACGGCTGAACGAGCTGATCGAGCGCGTCGAGGACACGCTCTTCGCGCTGCACAGCCCCAGGGACCTGCGCCAGTACTGGATGCCGGTCATCCTTCTCACACTCGTTGGCTGGCTCTACATGGCGCTGAGGTTTGTCGCCGTCACCTGGGTGCTGGACAACCAACCGCCCAAGGACGTCTTCAAGGTGATATTGCAGACGAGCGCTTTTGCCTGATAAATGTCTAGAACGTTGTGGACGTCCCGAAAATTCGTGGTATATACCGTATTGAAAATTTGCGATGCAGACTAGAGGGTCTGAACACACCTCTGCTAGCTCGACTGACTTCTTGAAACAAAATCAACTGATAATACCGATTTTCTTTTTTTTTTTTTCGAGGCAACAGCGTTCCTTTGATTTTGAGTGATGCGAAAGTCACTTTCCAATATTATCTGGTACATTTGACCCTCTATTGCTCCTTCGATCCCACAAAAGGACGAATAGTACTCCTCCGTGGTAAATTAACCATGCGTCTTGCACCTTTTTTTTTTTTTATGAAAGCAGTATTCACTGGCATATTGAGGTTAAATGAAACACGTTTTATTTAAACATTAATAAATTTTTACATGTTTTATTGTCACCGCTGTTTTTCTTCTTTTTTTTTTTAATGCGACAGAATTAACAGTCTTTTTGGGGCGAGCCGACGTTATCAGCTTTAAAGACGCGCCAAACGGCACCTTAACTTCTTTGTCCAAGTGAAACCGGCTCCCAGCCTTGAAACCACAAGAAAAGCCTAGCCACACGGCACCTAGTTCCTCGATCCCAAAAGGGCGGATTGAAGCTGATGGATTTTGACTTCAGTCCCATTGGTTGGGCGCGTCATAATTTCAAGGAACGAGGCTCCCATTGGCCACTGCGCGCAAGTTCAAACGACCGCCACCCCGGACGTTGCGTGTCCGCGCCGTCCACGGGCAGGTGAAACGAAGCGTCCAAGGTCCGAGCGACGAGGAGAAAGCGCGCTCTGCCGTCGATACAAATACTACGCCGCAGACTAAATAAGGGAACGGAAGAATGACAAGCATGCTTTCGCATTCACAACTCATAAGATGTGCTTAGGTGTACCTCAGCCCTTTGATTAACACAGCATACATACGTTGTGGTGGGCGCAATGTTAGAAAAGACCGGCACAAAAAGCGACACAAATATCGGCCTAAAAAAGTGGCATGAAAGTGACGTCATCAATGTAACATCACAAAATAATGACTACCCAACTATGAGCGAAATGGGGCAGTTCCATATGATTTCTACAATGCTCTTGTAGCATCGTAGAAATTGTAGAAAAGGAAACTCCCCTTCCCATGGGGAGGATATCCTCCCCATCAAAGGATATCATCGGCGAATTTCTTAACATATCTCGTCTAACTTCAACGAACGTACCGGCGAAACATGCAGTGATCCACCACATAGAGTCAGCAAGAACTCCAATGTTTGCACTGCCCCGACGTCTCGCTTCAGATCGACTCCGCATAGCGAAACAGGAGTTCGAGCAAGTGTTTGAACTTGGCTATATGCGGCCGTCCTCCAGCCAGCAGCTGGAGGATGGCGCCATGCGGAGGACCTTCAGCTCTCCGCATGGCGCCAAAGATGAACGGTGACTGGCGTCCTTGCAGCGATTGCAGAGCCCTCAACCAACGAACGATCCCCTGATCACCTATCCGATACCACTCATACAGGATTTCACCAGCGCCTTGCATGAAGCAATTATGCTCAGTCAAATGGATCTCGCCCTTTCGCAGATAATAGTCGCGGTGGCTGTGCAGCGCGCTCGGCCAAATGCGAATGCGCTGGGGGTCATGTGATCACGCTCCTTGCCACTTGCTCTTTATCGGCTACGGTCGCCCGTTCCCTCGGCGCTCTAATGGCGAATTCGGGCGGTCAATCGTCGGCAACATAATTTGCCGGAACACCGGCAATAGTGTTCGCGTGGTCAGTTTCCAACTGGCGCGCACCGTTCGGGCGGTGGTTCTCCGTCGAGCACCGGCAACTTTCCGGCGCTTTTTCCGCCTGAGCTCCAAATGGCTTGGCGAGTAGGCGCCAGACTGTATCCGGTGTTGCCACTTCCAAGAGGGGAGAGAAGGTCAGTAAGAAAAAAATGAACGAAAGAGCGAATCTGATCTGAAGTCGCTTCAGCAGCCACTACTCGAGTCAATCCAAGTTGTTGGGACATGGGTGACGGCGGCGACAGGCGGCGACAGGCACTCGCTAGCGGTGTCACGCAGGCAAGAAGCGAAGTAAACTGCCACCATCTGGCGTTTCGTGTTCGGTTATTGAGGGTCACGTGGTGTGCCACTTGAGCGTTTCTAGTAGCCGGTTCCGCCGGCTCGGTCTCGCCGGTGATGGACCACCCGAACTGGTCATAAGCCTTTGCGTGCAAGAATAGGGCAGCCGAAGCATACGCCGAAGCAGGCAGCAAATGCTCGACGGCGTGAGCGCCCGCTCGAGAGAAAACGTCGTCAATCTGTAGGCGCGGACGGTCTCACATTGGATGTTAGGATGCATTCGACGTCAAGATCATTCAGTGCGTGAACGGGAAGTGGCACGTAGAAGAGAACGGTACCAAGCGAAGTATGAAGACGCTGGTGCGATCAAGCAATTTGTGCGGCGCGTCCGCGAGAAGCTGTTTGGCGCTATCTGTTCTGTGTGTGATCGGTTGTTGTGGTTTACGGGACACCTGCAGTGTCTTTGCCGGCGGCTTGCCACCAGGTTCTTTAGTCGTCCTACTCGGACAGGGACCTGACTGTCCTCAAGGTGTGTGCTACTTGCCTACGCAGTGTTTGTGCTTGCGAGATCCTGAATCTGGCCAGGTTCTACGGGTCCGCATACCCGTCAGTGTCAGAGGGTCTGCCTCAAGGGTATCGTGGGCGAGCGTTTGGTGTCCCCGAGAATACCCTTCATGCAGACCTTCCGTTTGATGCACGAAGGAAGACTGTACGAGAATAAGGTGCCTGTTGCAAACGTGCCAGTGGGCGTCGAGACTCTGGTGCGTTCAGTGCCCCGTGATGTGGCATCGGAGTTTACGCTAAATGTTCAGCTTAAGTGGCGAAAGATTGTCAAAATGACGCACATCAGAAGCCTAGTCAAGAAACGCGACATGGGGAATGTGTGCTTAACGTGATAAACCTAAAATTTCAGAATCACTCAATTAACAGCATACAAAATCATTAAAACGCTGTATTGATAATATTTAAAAATCATTAAAACGGAATATCGCTAAAATGTCAAAAGTTATTAAACCAAACATCGACAAAATTTAAATACATAAGACGCAATGTCGACGAACTGTCAAAGAAATGTCAAATCAAATAATGCCGCAACATCATCGGTATGAACGCAGCATCACCGAAATGCAGAATTACCGAAAGATGTCATAACAACAAAATGACTGATCAGCGCGCGACGCAACTTTAACGGAATTTGCAGTCAATCGCGACGCAATATCATTCAAATATCTCCCCAGCTGACGCTGTTTATTCGCATCACGTGGCGTAATAGTCCAAAAATGTTTTAGGCAGTTTTTCGGTGCGCTAGGCAAAATAACGGAAGGTCAAGAGCGAAGCTGTATTACCAAACTTTTCCGGGTCTAAGAACGGAAACACTCGAATCTATGTACAAACCAGTCATGTGCTCGTATAGGACAAGCTCCCTAACGGAAGCGTGGCTTGCTGACGGCATATAGACTAATCAGTATTTTCCTCCCAAGTACAGTGCGGTTAGGTACGACCGTGACTACAATTATGCGGGTCAAAGGTATGGTGGCAGCGTTTGAACTGAAGTTGATATTCGCAGAAGTGGCGATGTTCGCAGAAGTGGCGATTTCAAAGGTATACAAAGTGTGTTTGGATTGAAATTATATGAATTTATGGTTTTAGTTGCCTGACTGGTAACTACTGACTTCGCTCTATCTGATCAACGCGCATTTTGTGAACATAACATTTTCTTGGATGTAAGGTACACAATTTAGCTTTCATGTATATAATTATGGTGACTTTACCCTTCGTGGGTTTGACCGAAAGAGCCGTATTTCATCAATGAAAGAGACAAACAGAAAATTAAAAATAAACAGTCTGCTAGACTGCACAGTTTAATGGCCTTCAGTACTTCAATACTGTGCGAATTTGCTCTGGAAATACACTAGGCGTCCCTGGCTATAAAAGCAGCCGACATTTGTAACGCAGATGACGAACCAATTGTCGTATCGTTTCATTTCCAAGTTAAAAGGGCAAATTTTTATCAGCAGTTGTGGCTTTGTTATGCACAAGGCGATAACTACAGTTTGTACCGGTATCTCATTGAGTATTATTGGAGCGTTGTTTTATAAGATAAGTGTGCTAGGTCGTGCGTCTACAGACTAACGTATGCACTAAAGCAAGCTTTTGACATGTATATACCCAAGAGGGTAGATTGGGAAACTAACCATCCTCCGTGGTTTTCGATGTTCTTAGGTAGTGCCTGAAAATAAAGCTGCATTATCATCACCTCTTCAAAAAAACAGGGTTGCATAAATGGTATTAACTGTTTAACCAGTTTCGATCGTTGGCGAAACAGCTGTCTTAGCACGATAAGCAAGAACAGAAAAAGTTGATGTGAAAACTCTGATTAAGCAACCAAACAATGTTGGAAAATTCGCGAAAGAAAACAAAAACACTTTTTTTAGTTGCATTACGAGATGACATTGGTTATTTTTGAGAATCAAATTTGATAGCAAACATGTTTGCGAAGCTTTTCAGCTCTTGCTTTTCTGTTGCTGACTCGTCCTTCGGCTAGCAGACATTGGAGGCGGCGACCTCTTGTCTTGCAACTCGATAACTCAGTGCGAAGTCATGGAAGCTATTCTAAATTTAAAGCCGAAATATATATGGGTGTAAATGGAATCCAGAGTTTTTTATTTATTTATTTTCTAATTCGAATATCCACAAGGCCAGAGGCCTTGTGGATATTCGCTGATGGAGACGATATTCTCCGGAAGGTCGTTCCAGCTCACAAAGGTGTCCGGAAGGGCAGAATAAAGATTGGCCGTTGAGTTGCATTTGGGCCGGGCTATCTCACAGGGATGATCAAACTTCGGAGAGATGTAAGTAGGCGCGTGAAGCGGGGAGTGATGTAAGGCTGGGTGGTAAAAGATCTTGTGCAGAAGACAAAGACGGGAAATGTTACAACGAACAGAAAAATTGGGGATGTCAAGCTGGGCATTCATGGCAGACACACTGGAGAAACGTGAGTAATCATACAGGATGAAATGAACGGCGCAATTCTGGACATACTCACTTCTGTTTGTTAAAATTAGTTGATGAGGGCTCGAAATCGAAGATTCATATTTAATTTAGGGCGGACAAGGGTAGTATAGAGGAGACGTTTAAGGACATGAGAGGCAGACTTCAACTTGGGGCGTAATTATCGTAAACTGCGGTTAGCCGATGCTATTAATTTGAGTATGCCAGGAGAGATCAGAAGTAATGTGAACACCTAGATACTTACACTCATCAGTATAAGTAAGGGCTGTACCGTGGAGAGTTATGTTCGGCTGGGGGAAAGATGGAGAACGGGAGAGCGATATGCATTAACATTTATCAATGTTAAAAGCCATCTGCCACGTGACGCACCAGTCGGCTATTTTAACAATTTCTGTCTGTAATGTTAGGAAGTCATCGGGGGTTGTTATTTTTCTGTACACAACACAATCATCGGCGAAGAGACGAAGAGAGAAAACAATATGAAGTGGGAAATCATTTATGTATATTAGGAAAAAAAAGAGGCCCAAGGACAGTTCCTTGAGGGACGCCAGGAGTAACAGGAATGGCAGTGGAAGTTGTGTTCTTAGCATAAAAAGACTGAGAACTATCAGATAGGAAAGAAATAATCCACGCCAGTACTTTGGGGTCAATGCTTAACGTAGATAATTTATAAAATAAAATCTTGTGTGGGACCTTATGGGCTTTGGCAAAATCGAGAAACACAGCGTGAGTAGGATTTCCGGAGTCTATGCTCTGAGAAAGGCCGCTACGTAATGCACGTAAGTTGGGTCTTACGGGGTACGGACTTGCGAAAACTATGTGGAAGGCTGCAGAAAAAGTTCCTTGAATCTAGGAAGGTATGAAGATGCTTGGCGATGATATGCTCCAGAAGTTTAGAAGATATGCAATTTAGGGAAATTGGCCTATAGCTGAGAAGGGATGTTTTAGACCTTTTTCGTTTTCTTTCGTTTTCAGTCATCAGAGGTTTATGTCTGGTATGCGGGACAAAAAATAATACAGCATTTAAACCTGAAATATGCTAGAAAATATAGGTGAGGCAGAACAAGAATGTATGACAATCTCGCATATTTCGTGAACACCGTCCAGCCGCGCGGGGAGATCAAAGCGATGTTTTAACACATGCTAAAAGTGACGAAATTCAAGATGGCTGTGCCCTTGTAGCAAAGATGTATTGTGAAAGGCCGTGCGTAAATAATTTGCCCCGTTTTGGTTCACATTTTCAACTTATCTCTGGAATCGGGTATATTCCCCACAATGTGGAAGAGTTACGTTGTTATTCCAGTTTTTAAGTCGTATGACCGAGATAAAGAGAACAAGTATCGACCTGTGTCACTCTTCTCCACGTTCTCAAAAAGTTTTGCAATGATACTCCATAATCGTTCATACACGTATTTGAACAGCACGAATTATTTGAAGGTCGTTCGGTGGAGACGAATTTCTGCTATTTTCGACATGATCTTGTGCCCATGGTTCATAACGAAAATATGGCAGCTGTGGCATAATTTGACATGACGAAGGCATTTCATAAAGTGAATCACCGGCTTCTTTTTTCCAAATTTACTATGTATAGTTTACGCTCCTGGTATTGCAAGCTTTGTGAAAGTCACATCTAAACGCCAGAGCTTGGTAGGTGTTACCGGTTTGAGTTGAGCTAGTTGTTACATATCTCTGAGGAAACAGCTTGAACATTAAACATTTCCACACAAACACGACAGGACATACACAGAGCCAGTCTTAAATAGTAACGCGTTACTGTAACTTTGTTACTTTTTTGGTAACTTGGAACTGTAACGAATTACTTTTTACAAATGTAACTTGTAACTGTAGTTCTATTACTTTTCTGAGGTAACATTTAAAGTAACGAAGTTACGTTTGTCGTTACTTTCCAGTTTTTTGTGAATAATATATGATTGAACGAGTACAATTTAGCTATTCCTTGCACTTTCCAAATTGTCAGTTCCGACATTTCGACTGTCCAGTTTGCCTTGCACAAACTTTTGAACGCGTTCTTTCTCGCGAGACACGACCCGAATATAGCCACATGTAGATTTGAGGAAGAGAAAAAAAAAATCGAGTTATCTTTAAGCAAGCGCTTCCTCTTTGCCTGCGGTTTTTCTTTTTTCTGCGCAACCGTTTTTTGATCGGGTGAATCAACCATGAAACAACGATACACACGGAGGGCACTGCGCATGTTTCGTATCTTAATTTGCGCCACTACTCCGGCGTGGTGTCAACGGTCAAGACAAAATTTACTGATGTTTGCACGGGGTTTGTTTATCAAATCAAGATCAAATCCAATCAACCTTTATTTTCCATCACATGAGGGGGGATACCAAGGAAAAAAGCTGCTTATTTGCAGCTTGACGAGCCCCTGGCACCCCTACATGGCAGACAACGCAACAAGAAATCATCTAATAAACAAATAAATCTAAAAAAACAATACAATGTGCATTTTTATACAATGTTAATAAATCATAAAATGTGCATTTTTTTATACATTGTTAACGATGCTCTTTTTATTAAGTGAAGTGATATCAATTTCTAGCGATGCGATATGATTTAGTAAGTGAGGAAGTGCATGTTTAAATTTTTGATGTCCGAAGTTCGTACGTGATCTTGGTATTTGTCATGGATGTATTTGACGGGTTTGATAAATTGGAATTTGCAAATGAAGGTCAGCAAGGTTCAGAAATGTTTCAGATTTACCTTTTAGGGACGATTGGTACGTTAATATTTGACACGTTTTGACACGTCGGTTATGGAAAATTTATCAAAGAGAGGCAATGATGGTGAGGTCGTAGGAACATTGGCTATTGCACGAAGAGCTTTTTTCTGCAGCACGCGGAGCAAATTTAAGTTGGTTAAACCAGTGGATCTCCATATCAGATGCGTGTATCCTAAGACGGGGAAAAATAATGATATAAAAATTTGAAGTTTGATATTGGTAGGTAAAATGTTTCTTTATTTGTTTATTACTCCAACTATTTTCGAAAGTTAAGTACGAACATATTTAACATGTTCAGACCAGGACATGTTAAAGGAAAAAAAAATACACCCAGAGGTTTGACATTTTCAACGCAATGAATAATATCGGAACCATATTTGTAAGGAAGGAATAAATTTGTTTGAGATCTAGAATGTAGTTGAAATATTACAGCCTTGCTCTTATTAGTATTTATATGGAGGGAGTTAATTTCGCACCCATATTTTAATTTAGATAGAACAATATTTGCTCTGGTAACAAGATGTTCACAATTTTTATCAGAAATGATTACCCTCGTATCGTCTGCGTAAATTATAAAATTTACATCAGGGTCAATAGTTACAATATCGTTTATATAAAAAAGAAATAGAAGTGGTCCCAGCTTGCCGGCTACGATCTGAAATATTTCAAGGGACTCTATGAACCCAGCGCAACCGTCAACGACCCAACAATGTGCTAGTGCTACCAAGGATAGGGATGTTGATGAGATCAAAGAAGAACATACGTTTTAATTTTATGCAATAAAACTTTGTGAGGGGCGTTTTCTAGTTTTTCCTAAATTTTTATGCGTTAAAGAAAAGTAACTGAAAAGTAACATCGTTACTTTTTAAAAGTAACTGTAACTGTAACGAGTTACTCTTTTATTGCGGTAACTGTAACGGTAACTTCGCTACTTTTTTTCTGAAAGTAACTGTAGCTGTAGCTAATTACTATTTAAAAGTAACTTACCCAAGACTGCACAGAGCTAACTATCAACTATTTAATACGTCTTCTTCTTTCTTGATGTTAACTATTTAATACTTCTTCCTTCCTTGATAGCAACCTGGCCAGGCCAGATTGCTATCAAGATGCATCGCAAAGGAGATCCTTCTGGAAGATCTGTTCTTTAAAACAAAAAAAGTGCATTTTATTTTGCAATCGTGGAATGCTCGAAAGGACTAAGAAGAAGAGGAGGTGGAGGAAGAAGAAGTGTTAAATAGTTTATATGCAGCTCTGTGTATGTCCTGTCCTGTCTGTGGGCAAGTGTTCAATGTTCAAGCTGTTTCCTCGGAGATTGGTATGGTTGTCTATACCCCTAACTAATCCTTTATTGGTTACTTCGGGCGTCTCACAGGGAAGCAATTTGGCCCTCTTTGGTTGCTATTTTTGTATAGGACCTTACTTTTTGCGTGAAGTACTGCAAAATGCTGTTATTTGCGGATGACATAATATTGTATTGACTGACAAATGATGTGCAGGACTGTGTTAGTCATCAGCGTGTATATTTTCTCACGTTTCAGAGCGTCTTTTTCACCGAGGCCAACCCCAAACACTCGGACAGGACTCTCCTGTTCTTTGTCGCCCTCATCTGGTACCTGAACACGCTGTTCGTGTACGGCACCCTTGTCTTCGTGCCCATCCTCTTCATCTCGTTCTGCCTGGTGCTCGCGCGGGCCTTCAAGGTCCACAACGTGGTCATTCGGAACGTGCACAAGTCCGGTCTGTCCCTGGAGGCTGACAGCCTCGCCCAGGTGCGCATCTTTTATGAGCGTATTTGCACGCTCGTCACCGACCTGAACGAGATCTTCGGGCCGGTGATCTTCTCCTGGTACATTATGATCGTCCTCAGCGTCTGCATCGATATGACGCAGCTGTTCAGCGACACTAACCTCCTCAAGAACACCAAGGAGGACGAAGGCTTTCTATTCAGCCTCAGAGGCATCTACTCTCTCCTGTCTTTCTTGGGGACGTGCCTGGCGGCCTCAAGAGTCTCCGAGGAGGCGCTGGCGCCCCTGCCGCACCTGCACGAGCTCACACTTCGCAGCTGGAGGTTGGATATGGACACTAAGATGGAGGCGCATTTCTTCTTGAGCCGCTTGTCCTCGTCTCCTGTATCCATGACTGGTTGGAACTTCTTCACCATTAACAGGAGCTTCATTCTCAGCGTTTGCGCGGCGTTGACAACCTACGTGGTTATCATCATCCAGATGAATCCAAAGGCTATGAAGACTATTAACAAGCTGGTGACGACGGCGCTCAATAACACCGGAAATGGAACGGCCTCGAGTGAATAAAGGGCCCCTGAATAACCGCCCTGAGCGTCGTAAATGATCTGATTCAAAGGCAAGAAAGAAAAAAAGGACGATATATTGACAACAAACTATGGGAACTCTATAGCACATATATCGTGTCCACACGTTCCCCTTCCCTGGGACATTAGGTAATGGGTGCTTTGCCATGTTTACGTTTACTGAGATTTTGACTGCATTTGAAGAGGAAACGAAAGTAAGGGAGGCCTTTTAGAAATCACTTTATGGGAGGAATGCTTATTAAGTTATCCCTCCTCCAGCATATTGAACGCCGCGTTTGCAATTCTCTCGGTAACCAGCATATGTTGGCCATAGGCCATTCCAGAAATACGCGGCGCATCCAATTGTCTTATCGACGCATTATGGAAATCCGACAAACTCTGCGTGAAAAAATATCCGTAGATAGAAAAAGCGGCTTATGTTTGTTTAGAGTTTTATTTTTTTAGAAAGCAAATGAAGCAGGACAACAACAATACAGGATACGTATCGGCTTTATTATGTGCTCGATATGTTTCCTTTGCAGTCTAAATTCGCAGCGGTTAGAGAGGAGGAGCCACTTTCAGAATGTACAGAGTGTACGAGCCGCCCCGATCGTACAACAGAACTGCCCCACAACTCCCCGCGCCGCGCAGTGTAATCTTGGATTGACGGCAGTTCTTTTGAGATTTCCCAGAAAGGTTTCTTCGGCGTTTCATGAACGGAGTGTTTATCGGTATGTTTTATATGATTGGAGTAAGAGCTATATAATTTAGGCAACGGGAGATGTCACTGCGCATGCGAATCACTGACGGGCGCTTTGGGATTTGCCAATTTGAACGCAGAATCTGTTTATAAAAAAGGATTTTATAAAAAAAAAGATCTAACGCTCGAATGTGACGAGAAAGCTTAACACGCATGCAAAGGTAACATAAGGATGCATAGCAGGTAATTCATAAGTACCCCAAGCATGTAGAAGGAATACTTCGATAGAATAATTCATACATAATCACAACTAGGCACAAATAATCGCATCAAAGCGGTATTCACCTAGGGGCTTAGCGGGAATCGAACCCTGGACCATGCAAACGGTACTCTAATACCCTCGCTCGCAGCCACAAGGATGCTTTTCTTTCGTTATTGTCGCAGCCACGGGGAGGAGGTGAAATAGACCGCAAGCAGCTGGGCTAAGTATGAGTTCGACGGTGGCCTGCGGTAGCACGCGATTGTCCGCGACGCGGTATACTTAGCCGAGCATACATAGTACGAAGGCGACAATCGTGGCGAGTCATACTCTGTCCTGCATACTTACACCAAAAGCGGCCGTCGGCAGCAAATTGTACTCAGCCAGGCATGCCTATAGTCCACAAACTATCGTCGGTGGCTAGTCATACTTAGCCCAGAATACTTGGTCTACCGGCAACCGTTCGGTGTGAACCATACTTACTTAAACGTAGTTAATCCACAGGCGACCGTCGACTCGCGAATAACAAAGCGTAGCTCTCCACGTGAACTCATTGCAGCACGGGGTGAATCTTACTGTACCAAGAGAGAGTGTAGCGAAAGTATGGCGTTACAACTTCAGGAAGGAGTAAAATAAATAGTGTAAAGGGCATTTCAAACCTCCTTCGACACTACTTCAGTTGCCACAAAGGGTTCCTCGCAATTCAAGAGCACTAAGAGTTCCTGTCCGCACCCATAAAAGAAACAAAACTCATGGAAAACTCATTAAGGTACGCTCGTGTCACACTCCACTCTTGCATACATTTAGACCTAATCTTGATCATTCAGACAAACCCGGAGTACACCAAAGTGTGCCCTGCGTGCAAAGCGTTCCAAACAACCTGAAGCTCCCCGTACCAAGCATAGTAAATCATATCGCACTCATAATGCAAGCATGACACATTATGAGTTCTACAGGTTTGTCAAAATAATCAAGACGTTTATTTTTTTAATAAACTGCCTGTTCTGAACAAGCAGTTGCTTGTTTTGCGTGTGGAAAATAAAATAAATGAAGGTTCTAGAAAGTTCTTGTTGTATGTTCCTTTGTGTCGTTGTTTCTTGCTTGCTTTTACAGGGTGTGTTTATTCGCTGGATTGTATGAAACTAGTGTGATAAAAAAATACATTACGGAGTAACTGCAAAGAAAAAATTTTTTTTTTTAAATAGCCTAATTGGGAAAAGCATGTCAAAAAACAATTTTTGCCGCGAGAAAAAAACATTTTTTACAGCAATATTTATTGCGCGAGACTCATTTTAGTTTGCGGCTCTTTCGTCCATTTTAAATCGCGCGCCACGAAGCTGTGATTACGTGACGTCAATCCCAATAGGTTCTCATTTGCTAAGAGTTTGATTGACAGCTTAGATCTTGGTTGTTAAACCTTTGTTATATGTTGCAATTTCCTTTTGAGCGGCATATTTTTACGTTTAAAGAATAACCCATGTGATAAGAGTTATTATTCTTTACAAAAGGTTTACAAGACGGGCACTTCCGTTTGGATTCATATAAACAAAAGCTTCGCCATTCTTTCATGGCCGCCGAAGTCTCTGCTCCCGCCTGTCTCGCCTACTTCGACTAATCGTTTCGCCGAAGTGATCACTGTTTCGTGCTGACTCAGGTGCTTGAGTGAGGCTTCTTGAAGTGAAGTAGTGTGTGTTTAGCAGCTGTCGCAGGTGTTAGTGATAGGAAGCGATGCGGGGTTTTGGCTTTCATAGCGCGGTTATCTCGTTTTCCTCTTTGCTTGCTTAGCGTGCTTATTTTGTGTGTTTGTTTTGCTTGTTTGCGCGTGCAAATGCTGACTTTTCGGAGATGTCAGATGCGTGATCCCGACAGTGAGCCTTCCAGCAGCCATGTCGCCCCGAAAGGTATGCTATTTGGCTGGAGGCAATCGGGCGTTCGCGTAGCGACAAACGTGCCCAGTTACGTTCTCGTCATATCGCTCCGGAGGCCATCGAGATTCGCACCGGGTACACCTAAAGTCCACAACTAGACACACAAAATAAAAAAAACACCATGTTCACTACGTAAAAAGTGGTCTCAGTTCATGCATCTGTAGACAGGTACGAAATTTTGCCCAAATTTATTCACACCGCACGACGAGCGCGACACGTCGCTGTGCAAACACAGTCCAACAACACGAAGCATAAAAACGGCAGATTTAGGAGAACAATTCGGCGTTCATTGTTCAATCAAAACGACGTAATTTATTTGAAAACGCCCGCAGCTTTTTACTCACGGTATGCGTCCGGAATCTTCCACATTTTGAAACAGAACGAAGGGAGATTTACTTTTAAAAACGCTCGCTGCGTCCTCCCGGGCCAGTTTTACTGGATCAGCCGACGACAATGGCACTGGACCCGTTGTACGTCAACCCCGCATAACACACATAGCACCGCATTACACACACCAGGAACGTTTCAGCTCTGTCGCATCGCCGTGTTGCACCAAACAGAACGAGATCGCCGAAACCAACGCAGCGCTGTCGTGAACCTTGGCTTGTGGTTGCGCGCTCGTGGATTCTGAGACTCCCTTCGGTTTCAAAGCGCGCACGACGACTACGAACGATACTTTCCGTCTTCCGGGAACATCACAGGCAGAGTGTCGAACCGATATTTTTATCGGTTCGGTTCGGGTTTGGGTTCACGGCTTTCGGTTCAGTTCCGGTTCAGTTCCGGGGCGCAAAAATAACGGTTCATACCGGTTCGAACCGGTTCGAACCGGTTTGAACCGCTAAATTGAGAATATATTTTCTGCTTTGTTCTGTCAATAGGCACTATTTAGGCCATGAAACTAACTGCTGTAAACAATCTGATTTTTGCGAGGACCTATTTTTGAGAATTTCGCGAATCGCCTACAATTCGCGAAAAATGGGTCCCGCGAACAATTTCGGTAAAATGTAAACAGATTGAAATTTATGGTGAGATTCCACCGCGTCGAGAAAATTACAACCCACGAATTATTCCAAAACTTCAGCTTTGACCTAAATCGCGAAATATTGAGCCCACGAAAAATAAGTCGTTTACAGTATATAGTTTTCTTTTTTTTTATCGTTTGTTCAATCCAGTTTTATTTTCAGGTACAAAAATTAAAAAATTCTGTTATTTATACCTACACAACAAGAAAGGAAAATCTCCATTAACATACCAAACGTCGTGTTTATACGACTCAACCTCCCTTCGTTTACCAGAGTCACATACATTGTACCTGAATCGAAATGTTTTCGCGAAGTGAAGTAGGTTGCCTAAAATACCCGTGACAGGTACAACTTTGTATCGCAGTATTAGATGTTGAATCGTGGTTTTGCCCTTGAACTAAGAAATTAATTACAGTGAATAAAATCATGAAATGGGCACCTCGTCGTCATATATACCATAAAATGTGTTTTACGGAATACGTTTCACAATATATATATGACGACGAGACGACTGATCTTAAGGCAATATAATTTTAAAAATGTCACGAAAGTCACGGGACAAGTCCTTCCACTCTATATTTTATAAAAACACTAAGCGGCAATCGCAATGCTTGTTTTTTCTAACTAGCATTGTTTGCTCTCAGCACCATGATGCGGGCGACGAATCATGCGAAAAGGAGTGGCTGAAATTGTTCACTCTAACCTATGAGCACCTTCGTACTGAGATCGAATCTGACCTAAAACAGTGCTTACCCATGCGAACATTTCCTATATTGGATAAACTGGCATAGCCTGGTTCTTGAGGTTTGCTCTTGACAAAATGCCGGTCAATTTAATTTGCAAATAAGCATCACCCTCTCTAATTGATGATTTTTGTCAAATAGAGCAAAGTGGGATTTCATGCTCTACTCAATTCGGAAGCTACTTAATTGGACACTTTCTGAGAGTTTAAGTGTGCAATCGTCATAGTTCCATCATTCGTTCCAGTAAAAAAAGGCGATAATAAAAACACATAAAAAACGCAATAATAAACTTCTATATATTTGAGAAGTTATATATGCGTGAGGAACACATATAGTTATTTGAATTAGCTTC